CCCCTTTGCGTGTCGTCGTGGTACCAGCTTCCAGGTGCCGCGTCGTTGGAGTGCAGCGACTTCTGCGGCCATGGCTGCTCTCCATTTTTCAGCATCGGGTCCGCTGAGAGCCTGGCGCACAGTGGTGGGCTCGACCAGCTGCTGGTTACCCCGAATGGCGACGGCGAGACCGAGAATGCGAAGTCCGGTGAGGTTGGATTCGGCTGTGTTGGTGACCTCAATTATGTCGTCGTCGTCGCTGGGGATGTCGCGAACGGTGTCGCGAGAACAATCGCGAGCTAGTTCGTCCTCGATGGGTGAGTGCATTTCTGCACTTGCGTAGTCATGCTGTGCCTGTACTGCTTCGCGTGGATCCGTGTCTGTTGGGAAAAAGGTTGCTGTTCCGAATTCCTCTGTAACGGGTACAAAGGGTGCCTCGTCTCCAGTTGTCTCGTCTGGCTGTTCTCCTGCCACGTCAACGTCATCCTCGTCGTTGGCGTAGCTGTGTTGTCCCTGGAAGATATTGTCCGGTGCGTTCTGTGCAGTGCGGTGCTGTCAGTACAGTGGCAGGGTCAGTCTTTCATAGAAGATGCAGTCACGTGATCGCGTGAGCTGGTGGGTGGCGAAGTCCAGAATTGTCCAGGCGTGGTATTCGGATTCGATTCCGAGGTGGATGCCCCAACGAGCACGGTCTTCAAACTTTCCGGTCCGGGCAGTGTGGGGGCGGTACTGTACCATGCACAATGTCGAGGTTTTTGCCGGTCCACTCCTTGAATGGTGAGGTGTTGTTGGGCAAAGCCTTTGAAGACATCATGTTGTGCAGGCGAACTGCATGCGCCATTGCGAAGGGCCAATACTTGGTCGGCACAGCTGACTGCTTCATAAGGGCTCTCATCTTTGTCGCGAGGCTCCTGTTGGTTTGCTCCGCCAATCCCTGCTGCTCGTGAGCGTAGGGGAGGGAAATCATCCGCTGGATCCCCTTCTGTTTGCAGAGGGTTTTGAACTCCTCTGTCTGATATTCCAGAGCTCCGTCCGTTTGAAACGCTTTCAGTTTCTTTCCTTTGCTCTGGGTCTCCGCCATGCAGGGCCATATTTCAAAGCAGTAGTAAGCGAGATGACAGTTGCTGACGTTCACAGCCCAGACAAAGCGTGTGCCGGCGTCGATGAAGGTAAGCGTGTATTGCTCCCCTCCAACTCCTTTTGCCGTAAGGACCAGGAAGTCGCTGTAGACCTTTTCGAGCGGCTTGTAGCGCTCGGCTCCAGGTATCTTCTCGGCGAAGGGCGTGTGACGTAGCGCGGCAGTTGGGCAGACGGTGCAGGTGGGTAGGTCGGTTCTTGGCTTGAGTAGCTTTCCATCTGGCAGCAACAGTTTGCGTTGCTTGATGCAGTTGTCGGGGAAGGGCGTGTGACGTAGCGCGGCAGTTGGGCAAGACGTTTGCGTTGATGCAGTTGTTGAGCACTTCGATCGATGGGTGCCCGAATCGTTGGTGCCAGATGTCGGGGTCGGCGCGGTATCCTTTTGTTCGTACGTAGAGCTCCTTCTCTCGTGCTAAGATTCTCTCTGCGGTCTCCTTTCCTGCTTGTTCAGTGTCGCGCCGTGATACGCTCTGCTAGTGTCGCCGATGGTGGAGATGTCGATCGTCACGGGGAGTTTCAGCGGCCCTTGAGGAGGTGGCGGTGTGATTTGCTGATGTCGATCCTCCGGCTGCGTAACTTCCCCTTCTTTGACGTCAGTATCGCCGATCGCTGCTATCCTTGTCTCGACGCGGAGGTAGTCACTTCCATCAGTCGTAATGGGAATGAGGTGAGGCCCGTACTCCGTCAGCGATTCTTCTTCGTCTGCATCCGGTGCCTCCTCAGTGACTTCTGGTTCTTCTGTTTCCTCTGCTACTTCTGCTGCAGGTCCCCTGGCGATGCTTCCCCATCCAGTTTCGGCTACAACGGCTTCTCCCAGCTCGGTGTTCTCCATGATCCAGCGGACATCCACCGCGTCCCAGCCTTCGGTCGTGTTCCAGCCGGTAGGTTGTTCAACGCGGGGTCAGATTGCTCGCGCAAATCCTCCGACTTCCGCAGTTGCCGTTTCCGATGTAATTTCTTCACCTTCCTCCACTGCTTGTGTTCCTGTGTCCGCAGGGTTCGTGGTCGAGGCGACGGGTACGGCAAGTGCGCGGAAGGTTCCATCGAGACCGGGTCGTTGATAATCAGTCTCTTCTGGGTGGCTCCAAGTTGGCGGCGACGGATGACTGGGAGGGTCAAGCATGATGATATGTTGGTTGTCGCCAGAGGTCTTGTGTGATTCGAAGTCGAGTACGAATACTCCTCCCTCGCTTGTTACCTTTACGATGAATGTCCCACCGTGTATTAAGTGAAGTTCGTTCTCTGTTGTTTGCAGTTCGACGCCGCACTTCATCAGTTGGTCGAGGGACAAGAGTTTGTATTGGAGCTCTGGCACGACGAGGACGTCGCTGATGTGGATGCAGTAACCGGTGTCGTGCGACTCCAGCTGGATCTGTCCGCGGCTTCTGGCGTAGATCGTTTGGCTGTTGGAGATGGTGATTTCGACCTCGTTAAAGAGCTCTTCACTGTTGAGGATGAAGATGCTCGACGAGACCATGTGCTGCCCGCAACAGCTATCCATGTACCACTTGTTGACTTCTTTCTTGGTCTTGGCAAGGTTCGCGAGCTTCGGTGTTATGTGATGCTCCATGTCATGATCGTCTTCGTAGCCATAACCTTCGTCGTCGTATGATATGCGTGCAGGTGGTGACTCCTGGATCCACTGCGGCACTTCCTAGTCGAATTGCATTCGGCCGGCTGTCAGCTCGTTGTAGGTAGGATCGTTTTCCTCTTCGTCTTCAACCTATCCTCCGGGCCATTCCTGAGGTGGGTCTGCGAACATGTCCTCCCAGCTGCGGAAGAAGCGGTCCCCGACGCACCATGCAAGTTAATACCTTGCTCTTTCCTTTGTCGTTTGTGTTCGCAGGGATGCGGGCCGGAGCTTGAGAGGTGCTGGCGACGGCCGGTGGTGACACTGTCTGGTTGCGCGCTGGAGCTCCGTCGGCTTGCTGGTGAGTTCCTCCACCTTTCTGGCCGTGATTGTTGTTGCCGTTAAGCTTCCAGCATTCTTGAATCGTGTGTCCTGTCTTCTTGCAGTACTTGCAGAAGAGTCTTTTCTTGTCCGGTGGCGCTTGCTCGTAAAACGCAATTTTCTCCTTCTTGTTGCCTCTCTCGTTGTACAGGTCGATCTCCTGTTGTTCGGAGAGCAGCTAGGCACAGAGGGAGGTTTCGCTGAGCGTTCCTTGCGTGCGAAGGAGCGACTTGTAGTGGCGCCATTACGGGCTCAATCCAACGAGAATGATTGTGACGAACATGTCGTCAGGGAAGTTGCCACCGCTTTTCCTGAATTGATCTCTCATATTTCTGCAGCGGTTGATGTATGGTCCGGCCTTCTCGCCGGGGAACATTTTGACATTGTTTAGCTGGTTGAGCAGGCGACTGAGTGTCACCGAGTCTGTTGCCATGTGGCAGGTGCGCAGGTGCTCCCAGGATTGTTGTGCGAGCGCCCACTCGTTCTTGAAGGGGCGGATGCTCAATTGTTCTTCGGGCGCTAAGTTCCGGATTAAGACGGTGAAGGCCATCAGCGACTCGTTATAGTACTGCGCCTTCTCTTAATGTGAGCCGTTGGCTGGGAATGCGTAGGATCCGTCTTAGTACATCCGGATTTGTGCGCCTTGTTCTAGGAGTTCAAACTCGAAACTCCAGGTGTAGAAGTCCTTCCCGTCGAAGGGCTTGGTTGTCCTTAATTTTGCCGTTGTGAGGAACTTGCTCTGCATTGACGCCATTGTTTCGAAATGTGCCTATTGTGCTTGTGCAGAACCTTGAGCTCCGCGATTGTCGAAGGTGAATGGTCGTTCGGACCAAGCTCCTTGAGGATCGGGAGGTCGTCGGGCGTAGCTAGAGCCGTCGATGCTCATTGGCTGGTGGCTTTCCAGGGCGCTGATGCGGGAGATGAGCTGCTCGAGGAGCGCTGAATCCACAGTTGTTGTTGTAGAAGCGACATTGGTGGAGGGAAGTACTGGATTTTCTCAAGCCTCTCCGCAATCTGCGCCTGGCATGTTGCTTGCCCTTGATGTAAGGATAAGTTATAGTAGAGGTTGTCTTGTTGAAGACTTTTAGCAGCTCCTATAATCCCAAACTAGCTCTCATACCATGTTAGAGTAAGGATCCTTAGATAAGATAGGAATTGCTTCAGAGAGTTGGTAGCGGAAGACTTGTTGTAAGAACCTTGTGCATAGTAGATGTAAATGACAAAGTTGATTAAAGGATAGATTACACACAAAATAAATAGTCATATCTAGCCATGTACTCTGAGGGGTACATTCTCTTGTTCTAACTGTTTTACAGGCAGTTCTACAGTGACTCTGACTGCTGCTCTTCTTCTTGTTACCGAGTCGCTGTGTGTAACCGTACAGACGGTTACGCCTGTTGCCATTCCTCGATGGTGAGTCAATCGGTCCAGATGGTCAACAGTCGCGACAGTTGACTTTTGCGACTGTTGACCTTCCTGCCCATGTTACAGGCTGATCCGATACTGCTGCAGGTGCTGCTTCGATAGTGACGAGTGCGATACAGCTGCACCTACGAGAATGCTAACTTAATTCCCTTCATACTCCAACAGAGGGAGAAGGGAGGATGGAGGGAGAAGGGAGGATGGAGGGAGAAGGAAGGGAGGATGGAGGGAGAAAGGAGGATGGAGGGAGAAGGGAGGATGGCAGGAGAACGAAGGACGGAGGGAAGGGAGGGTGTGGGGTGCATGATGAAGGGCAGAGACGTCGGTGAAATTCCAGCAGGCAGGTGATGATCATTAAAAGGTGGTATTTACCACATTGAACAAATTAAATAAGGACAAGTCAGCTTACATAAAATTAATCAGATCCTCATTGTTCTGTACAGAACAGATTCCCACTCCTCACCCCTGCTTTTCCCACTCTCCCCATCTGATAGGACTATCTCCTGCTGAGTCACAAGCAGACAACATTGGTAACTCTGCTGTTGCTGACCCTCATGCTCCTACCTTCCTCCGTTTCCTCCTCACTTTCCTTCCTGGCATCTGGTTGTGTGCATGTCAGAGCATCTCCTTCCAAAACCCCCACGCCGCTACTTAAACTGCACATGCGCCATGATTCCATTTGACCCTCCCCGTCCATTCCCTCCGCTAGATTCTCACACCCCCCTTCTCCCATTTCCGCCGCCTCCTCCAACGGAACTTTGACCGAGGTGCAGCAGCCGCGGCCCACGTTCCATGACTGCGCAACGTCGCCAAAGTAATCCACCAATTCTAAATCCAGCGTCTCGTGATACGACGCGGCTTGAGTCTGCCCTCGAGATTCTTCGCCACCCGTTTCGCCACTGGGTTTCGTTTCGCCAGCCAGTGCTGCCGGCCCCGCTGGCGCACGGAGCAGGTCGACTCGAAATAAAATCTCCTGCCCTGCCGCGCGCTGCCCTCCGCTGCTACCACTACCACTGCGGCTTCGCGTGTGAGACGGTTGGGATGATGGCTCTTGCGACGGCTGCTGCTGCGGTGACCCCTGCGGCTTCTCCTCCTTTCGCACGAACGGAACAACCATCGCAGGCTCGCCGCAACTCACGCCGCCGGTCCCCGCCACACGAACGAACGGAACAACCTTCGCAGATTCCGCGTCTTCGCCGCTCAAGCTTCTCCGCCACCTCCCCGAAACTCCTGGCGCCGCCGGTCCCAGCCACCCCGAAGGAGACTTCGGGATCGCCGCGCCGACAGCGCCGGTGGCGGCGCCGGCGGATCCCGCCGCCGTCCCTCTCAAGAAGTTCAGGCTGCTGCGCTTCATCCGACTCGGCGAAGGGACGCCCTCGGCGGGTCCTTCGGTCGACACATCTTTTCCTTCAAGAAGGGACGTCGGGGAAGTGTGAACTGTGCTTGTAGGACTTCCATGGCGACCGTTGGAAGCAGCGGTCGCCGCCGGTGGCACAACCGCTACCGAAGGGGAACTTGATGCGGATGAATCCCGCGGCCCGCGGTTGGAGAAAATCCGCAGCTTCAAGTTGCGGATCGCCGCTGCCGCGGCGGGACGTCGGTTGATTAGTAGCGACGGCCTCGCCGCGGCGGCGCCGCTCTCCTTCTGTGGATCGGCGGAAGTCGGATCTTCTCCCTCCCACGGCGGAGGGCGGGGACCCCAACCGAGCACGCGGCAGTCCGCGCGCCCCGGCTTCTCGTCCGCGCGCCCCCGGCTTCTCGTCGTCTCCCAGCGCGGCGCGGAGCGAGGGGAAGTCGGAGAAGGACATGTTTCGCGCGCGTCCGCGGATGATACGATTTTTGCGGGATCGGCGCACTGCTCCGGCGGTTGCTTCGTCGGAAATCGCCTCCTCCCATAGCTGCTCCATGTCGATCGACGTTGTCGCATTGTGGCGCACGGATCCGCCGAGCGGACTGCCGCGCACTGTCGTCAGCGCGGCGGGGCGCCACGGGCTTTCGCTGGACGGGGAAAGTAGCGCGGAGGCGGAGCCGGATCCCAAGGGGGACAGCGCCGCCGGGCGCTCGCCGTCTTTTCTTCTTCCGGCCGCGACAGCTTCCGCCCATGATCCCTCCGGGGAAGTAATCGGAGAATATCTCCTAGTCACGCGGGGCCGCCGTGGGCTTAGCCCGAGGGAGGCTGTGGTGCTCAAGACACGCTCCGAGCGTGTTTCGCTAGGGGATAGAGTTCGCAAGCAGCGACTGCCGCGCAATGCGGGGAGGGTAGCGAGCGGCCAGTCTAAATCAGGAGGAATATCTGAAGGAGAGAGTACCGGACTGTGAACGACCGCAGATTGGGAGCCCATGGGGAATGGTTACAGCTAATAGAGCTGAGAGTGGATGGTTGGTAGCTGGTTATCTTGAACAAGAAATGACACGATCAGCCTGTGATGTGAATGAGATCGCATAGGGGGAAGGGAAGGACACTGGGTCGGGTTTTGTGTATTTAGAGGCCTGGGGCGTGTTTATAAACAGGTGGCGGAACACTCTAAACCTGGGCCTAATTCCAGTTACCACAGCAGCCAATTTCCCTCCCCCATCTGAACGCGGCAAATGGGGTGTGTCGGTTCGGTACGACTCGAACATGAAGCAGAACTTTTGCATTTGTGTAACACAGAAGCTTTGTTTCGAAAATGTAGAATTAGACCTGCCTAAGCACGGGCCATCTTTGTGGATGCGCCCTGCGCAGATGCAAAGTGCCATCCCGTCCAGCCCCTGACGAATCTGCTGCCTTCATTTTCTGACGAAGTTCGACGACTTCCACGTATTCGCACAGTAAACACCAAACATCAGTGCGAAATCGAATGGCCTGCCCAGATCGTACACGAACCTGTTCGCACTGTACATCGTCTGACCGAAGTGTCCCTGCCCGAGTGACAGCAAGGCTTGAAAATCCTATAAACTCAGCATTTCGATGATTGAATAAATACACTTGGATCATATCTCACACTCATACGTAGTTTCCACAACAGCCGGGCACAGAACATTCAAGGGAACATTAATCCACAGTGGGGTGTCATCACCGCCGTGCGGTGCAAGGGTACTGTACTGGTGACACAGGCAAACCACAACACGGACGTCACTGAGCGAAAGTTTCCCCAGCCTGTCTATTCCATGAGATTCTTCCTGGCTGCCCGCAAAATCTAGGGTGAGTGTGATCGGTTAGGCGGATTTTGATGGAAGACTTTCTTGGAAAGCCTGGAGAAATAGTGTCGGCGGTGTATTGTTTTCCGGCCCTCAAGTGACGGTCCCTACCTCCCTAGGTTCCACCTTCCATCTGATCCCTTCCCTGACCCCTCCTCCCCACCCCACCCCACCCCACCCCACTCCACTTCTCACATGTGCCTTGTCTCCCGATGCGACTATTGTTTAGACACGCATCAGCGAAAACGTTGCTGTTTTTTTTGTTAGTGTTTAGGCTGCATGGGTTAAGCCTTTTCCCAAAACAACCTGCCTATGAACCCTGATAACAAGTTAAACATTTCGTCCAGCCTGAGTTCAGGGGTATGTTTTATGGTTCTCAGGATTCTTCTAGGTGTTCCAGGACGTAGCTTCAGGAAAATTCTCCCCACCCGGGCTGTGCGTGCTATGCTGTGCGCATGCCTCCACAAAATCCGTCAGCCATCCTCGAGGATTGCATGCTCTCGCGTGCAAGCGAACCCGACGACAGATGCAGCGGCAGGGTGTAGATATGGGAACGAAGCCGACGACGACGTCCGATTCGCCTTGACTTGTTGCGGGAACTCGTTTGTCGGCATTCAACGATGGATTACTGTAGTTTGGTTTGGGAAAAAGGCTGCCGTTTTTGTAATATTTGTTATTAGTTGATAATGCACACTGGGAGGACAAGTGCACCCTATAAAAAACAGTCTTGTAGCTTTGCATATTGCCAGTGTAGCTTCACCAGTGAGCCATTGAACATCTGGTAGATGACTTATTGACCCCTTTTGTTGGAGAGGCTTGTCCTCTGGTTGACAGGAACTAGGATTAATACTAATCAGTATGTGGTTTTCCAACGAGCAAAAGAACACGCGATTCGGCTAAATATACGAGCGATGTATAGGCGTCAACGTGCTAGGTAGTACTCTTACGTGAAAGGATATGAGCTCTCTGAGATTTTGTCGAGTTGCATTGCGTACAAAGATTCAACTTTCCACTATATGACGTGCTAGCATGTGAATAATATCGAGCCTCACAAGTAACATCACATCGCTACACCCGCGTCGGGAATGTTCAGCGGGTAACATTTCGGTGATTTGAAATTCGGTAGTCGAATTCCACCGAACCGAATGTTCAACCATCTCTGGTTGGAATCTGGAGCCGCTACGTAGCACCGAACGCAGGTCTTCTGAAGTCAATCCTCAATTATTTGCGAAACATGTGTTCGAGTAAAGAGGGAAATACATTAACCATTCCCCGAAGGTGCAACAGTATCGCACATGCCGCTATCGAAGTAGCGCTTGTACCACTATCGCGTTAGCCCATATAGGGCACCCGCAGGTCAACAGTCAAATCAAATGTCGCGATTGTTGACTTACCTGGACCGAACAGTTGCTTGTGAGGAATTGCAGCAGACGTAACTGTCACTACTGTTACAGACTACAACCGGGTAACTAAAGAATCGCTAATACTATAGCGATGTAATATGGTTAATAAGGGAATGTACCCCTTAGAGTACATGGCTAGTTAGGATCTATATAATGTGTATAATGCTTTTATTTTGAATCAATCCTTGTCATTTATATTTACTATGCAACAAGGTTTCACCACCAAGACTTCCGTTACCTACATACTGAGCCAGACCTATCATATCAAATGGATACTGATTCTAACATGGTATGAGTGTCAGAATAGTGAAGGAAGGATATGGCTGAACTAGCAAGCAGGTGGGTACAAGTAGGAAACCTAAAAGTGTTGCACCCTATATGAACTACCCCACTACAGCCTACACAGACTATAGCATATAAGTTTGACACACCCCCATAGGCAAAGTGGGGGAGAACAGGAGGTCACAAGACCAGTCAAGAAAGGCAAAGCAAGCTCAGGGTGGATCACGACGTCACCACGCATTCTGAGCACAAGCAAATGGCCACAAGGCCAGTTCACATGAAGAGTTATATAAAGGAGAACAAGCAATACAGCGATCACAACCTAGCAAGTGTAAGCATGCAGGTATAGGTATAGAGATCACAGTACAAGCAGAGTCAAGAAGTAAGCAAGTGAGGCACAGTAGGCACAAGGCCTAGAACAGTACAGAAACGCTGATGATCACAAGGCTGAAGCGCCTTGGTGAAGACATCAGCAGTGTTGGCCCGAGTGGCCACGTAAGCAAGACGAAGCTGACCACGCTGCTGCAACTCTCGAGCAAGGAAGTAGCGCAGAGCGATGTGCTTCGTTCTGTGCTCCAGTCTGTGCTCCTGACACAAGGCAATCATGGCCTTGTTGTCGACGTACAGCACTGGAGGAGAACGAGGCGGCTCTCCCAGGTCGGTCAGCAGGTAGGTGAGCCAGCGTAACTCCTGTGCAGCCATGGCCCCTGCGTAGATCTCAGCCTCACAACTGGAGCTGAGAACAGAAGACGAGCGGGTAGACCGCCAAGAGACAGAGCCGGAGCCAAGACTGAAGGTGTAACCCTGTGACGACCGCTGCTTAGCCAAGTCGTCAGCCCAGGAAGCGTCTGCGTGACCAGTGAGGACAACTCGAGCCCGTCCTCCAAGCACGAGCCCCATGCCCGACGTACTGCATAGGTAGCGCAACACCCTCTGCATCCATGTGCTCCTTCCTGTGTCGGCCAGGAGCGACATAGCGTGCTAGAATGCTAAGAGGGTAGGCAAGGTCAGGTCGAGTGCAGGTCATCAGGTACATGAGGCAGCCCACAAGCTCTGGATATGGGCCACTCGGCTCTACGGACTCGTCCGAAGGTGGAGCTGAGAGCGAGTGACCGGTAGGCAGAGGAGTGGACTGTGACGAGGAGTACGTGAAGCCGAAGCACTGAAGGACCTGCTGCACCATGTGTGACTGAGTCAAGGTAATGGTGCGCTGTGCTCTGTCCCGGGTGATCCGCAAGCCAAGATAGCTTGTCAGCTCACCCAGGTCTGTGCACGTGTGTCTCTTCTGCAGCTCCGACTTCACGTGGGCGAGTGCCTCAGTGTCAGCAGAAGCAAAGACCAAGTCGTCTACGTACACGAGAACGTAGAACGGCGGCAGAGTGGTGTCGGTGCGTAGAAACAGCGACGGGTCAGCAGTAGACGGAGCAAACCCAAGAGCAGCAAGAGTCGTCCTCAGTGTGTCGTGCCACTCGTGGGGTGCCTGGCGGAGACCGTAGACTAGCCGCCGGAGGCTCCACTGGG